GAATCAAGGGAAAACAGAATCTGTTGGGGAGCATGTGCTGATGGAAAAACAGTTAGAAAATTAGCTATAAATAAAGGTAGAGGTATAGGGAGAAGGCAGGCAAATATTTGAGTGAGTAATAGAGTTGTTTGTTCTTGTTTATAGCCTTCTTCAGGCTTTATGTTCAATTCAGTTTCGGTAATCACCTGTTTGTTATCAAATAATCATTTGTTCTACAATTTAGCTTGTTCTTTCCAGTTGGTATCTTATCATGACCCAATTGGGTGACTTCCTTGGTAGCTACAATTAGATTTAGATTTGACATAGCAGTGTGTTCCATGAAATGAGATACATTCTACACGATCTAGTGAGAAACCTTTTCCAAAAAAATTATCCTCTAGATTGGTCTTCTCTGAGTTACTATATTATGTATGTCTTTAATCTTGAGAGAATAATAGTCCCGAATAATAGGACTAATTATTTTGAAAGATCGGTGAATGATCGAATATTTTCAAAAATATAGACACCATAGTATCTTTGAGAAAGACACGATATCCCTTTTAGCCATTTTAATTATTGTGATTGTTAAATTAATGCACATCTTAATTCTAATAAAAAGAGTTCAAATATAATGGGTTATTAAGTCATTACTTGAATTTGGATTTTAAATGCGGGTATGTCATGGTGATCACATGGTTTAGACTAGTGACTGAAAGTTGGAATATCAAGATATAGTGAATAGGATGGATAGTACTCATTTCTCTAGATTATGGATATTCGTTCATGAGAGTCAAACATATAATGGTTATTGGTTAGTAAGCTAAAGACATAATTAGTAATCATATTGCTTCAATATAGTTATACTTATTGCTGAGTGCAATCATATTGTACTTCTGTAATGGAATGAACATATGATAGAGAGAAATTTTCATGAATTGTAACGAAATTGCTAATATTTATGAAATCATATTGGAATTGGGTTATTTGTATGGTTGTAGGGTCTCCAGATAAACTATTAGTGGTTAATTACTCATAATTTCTGGCAGAGTTTCAAGTTTTGGATAATTAGTTTTAGTTGAATCAAAACTATGGGTACTTGAAGGAAAATAAGTTAATTTAACAGGATTAAGATTGACTTTTTTTAATTTTTTTAAAAAATATTCTTACTTGGTACAAAAATTAAACCGTGTTGGATAGAATATAGATTTAAGCATGTGGAATAAAATCAAGAGAGTTCCAAAATAAAAAGTACTAAATTCCATTAGGAGATTATCAGCAGAGTATTGTCACTCTCAAGAACCTTTTTCTAGCTAATCCAGCTTAGAATTCATGTTGTCCATTTGCTTAAAACCAAAGAAAAATTCAGACATAGTTGCAAATGTAGCCCTCTGACAGTGAGTTGATTTTTGTGGTAGAATTGGCCAGAAGACATCTTGGTTTTTGAAGCAGGTTGCTATAACTTCAGATCTTTAGCAACACATTGACGTACTTTTTTGAATTTTTCTGTTCCTATTCATGTGCATTAGTGTAAGACATGATTCGAAATTGATATTCTTTTTAAGATGCTCGATATTCATCCAATACAATATGTTGCATATTTTATGGACAGGGCAATAGTTTTGGTCTGTGAGATTTATTTTCGTAAGATAGGAAACAAAACTGAAAACTCTTCAACTACAAGAACAAGCAAAAAGGCAGAGTACTTGCACTTTACCCACTCCCCAACCCCACCAAAACACCTGCTGGGGTAAAGACAAGTCAAGAATATAATTCATCATGATGCTGCAAACTGTGCCAAGTTAGCCTCATGTTGTTGACAATGATTACTTAGTCTAAATTACGTATAGATCCTCTGTAACTTTTAAGTGTACTTGAAGGCTCTTGGCATACTCCATGAATTGCTTAGTATGGAATTATTTTCACCACTTTTAAAGTCCAGTTAAATTCATTTTGTAGACTCTGGGTTATTGGCCTATCATATAATTATTAATGAGGCTGCATAAATACCAATTCGTTGAAATTACATTGTAAAATAGTTATCTATATATCATGGATCTTTGCTCTGTCTTTCAGGTTACATCATTCAATAGGCGACTGTGTCATCTTCATAGGCCCTTCTTTATACATGTTCACTCTCATCAAGTTTCAGCAACTTCTTCAGTAAAACAGCTCCCTAGGATGCAACAGTTTCATGTGCCTCCTAAGTATAAAATGTACTTTACTTGTACCAAGGACAAATTATTGGGGTTCATTCCTGATTCGTTTAAACAGTTCCCTTGGAAGGAAGCCAAGGGTGTTGCACAGCAGGAATTACTGGTTTGGGGGAAAGAGGCACTGAAATGGTCACTTACTGCAATCTTAATTTTCAGTTTTGCATCTGATATTATATATTCTATTTCCAGAAACAAAGAATTGCTAATTCCTTTTGGTCTATTTGTTGGATGCTTGATGACCAACTACCTTAACGAGGTATCTCAAGAATTATCACATAATGATAAGGTATACAAAGAAGTTTCTCCTTTTTATGTAATTATATCCATATTTTGATATATTTCTGAATAATTTGATGTTCTCTTTTACAGGAGAGAGGAATGACTTGGCAACTTTTGGGCATATATTGCTTCTTTATTTTAGTTAATGTTATGTCCGTATATTTTCCAGTAGGAGGAAAGGTTTTTCTGTTGCATGTTGCAAATGGTGGTTTGATGCAGGTTCTTTGGCTTTGGAGACATTTGTTGGAACAGGATAAAGATGAAAGAGAAATATATGGATGAAGTGTCTCAACCCCCAGGTTCACAAATGATTCTAGGCACATTTTGGGTTTGTTTCTACGATTGTTCATCTCTCTCAGTCAGTGTGCTAGAATCATATGCTATTCGATGAACATATGAGAATTTTGGATCTTGTTATAGAGATTTATGCATAAATGAGTGATAGTACTGTTGCAACGTGCCAAGAGGGGGAAAGAGAAAATGTTGGGATTTTTATGTGTAATTGGAAAGATATTTTAGCTTGTACATTAATTTGTTTCAAACTAATTCTCAACATTGTGTTACCGTATGCTTCGATAATAGTTCAGAACCTGCAGTTTATTGAATAGAACTTGACTAACCGAGTCACAAGGCTGCTTAACTGTCTGAATTTATATGATCAGTAGTTTGCTGGTTGATTCCATCATAACTTAGGACCTATCTGAGCATATACTTGGCTTTGAACATCTAACAATAACATATTAGGCCTTACTATTAAAAATGTAAACAATGCATGCCATTCCACTAGTGTGGCAATCCAAAGTGGCATCCATTTAATAAGCCAAAGATCTATCAGGCCTTACTATTAAATAATCAATATGGAATCTCATGACATGTGAGATGACAGTCGATAAAAAGATAAAAACTATGTATAGATTTCCCATGTGAGAGCAGGTATTTTTTAGACACTGATTTACAAATATTGCATAGATTGTCTTTCCTGCTTATTCAGTAAAAACTTAGAAATTATAAGAATGAAAAGACTGAATAGGTTTTACAAATTATTTGTCAGGGATCAGGTCATCATAGAAATTATAAACTTCGCAAGAAATGGCCAAGAGAATTAATCGAAGTAAATGTGTGCTGGCTTCTCGGGGCATGGGATTTTAGAATAAAGTCTTATAGTTCTATTTTTCGAAGAAATATGATGATATAAGGTTGTATTATATGTGTACATAATTTTTTAAAGCATGCCACGTTTTTAACCTAGTAAGTGTAGTTTTGAATATTAAAATCAGAGACTGCTTTAGATATTCGATCCTTATATTAGATATGAAGTTTTTCTATAGAATTTGAGATGTGATTTTGTTTTGTATGTTTGAATTCAGTTTGGACGTTTTGAATCGATAGATTCATGAGCATGTTGGGCATCTGAAGTAATAAGTGAACTTCACGAGTGGCTTTGGATATAAGATCCAAACCAATCGACTTCTTAAGTTACTTCAGACGTGCTTTAGGTGTTTGAATTAATGACGTTGACCTTTACGAGTGGCTTTGGATATAAGAGTCAACAACACCTATTAATTTGTAAAGTTATTTCATACGTCTAAAGCTTCTTCTTTTTTCATGTAGTCTCTTTCTCTTCTATGGACACTTGACAATTCATGTTTTTGATTTATATGGGCACCAGGAATATTTATTGAGTTTTAGAATCTGTATGTGAGTTGTTGCTTTGTACTTTCATTATGACTTTGCACAATAGGTATTATCTAGACGTCCCAATTCAATTCTTAATGTCTGTTTGGATCTACTTCTTTTCCTTGAATTTCTTTCTCTCTTAAACTCTAAGAATACCTCATCACTGGACCTATACTGGCTCTGTTGGGGTGTTTGATCAACATATACGGATGCTGGAGGGCCCGTTTGGCATGAGATCCAAAAGCAACTTTTGGACCTATTTGACTAATTTTATGAAATTCTTATTTTAGTTAGAAGAGCTTTTAGAGAAAGTTGGTTTGGTCTAATAAATGACTTTCTCTAAAAGTATTTCTAGAATAGAAAAATTAGTTTCCGAACAAAACTAAGGTAGCTTTATGCCAAAAGCTCTTATACAGGAAGTAAAACCAAAAGTAAAAGTCATGCTAAACGGTCCGAAGCAATTAGGAAAACGTATGGGGCTATGGACATCTCTAGTGATATTTTCATCGTTTGGAAAGCCCCGAGCATATACCTTAGATGTCTCAAGTCATGTTAGTGACATTCAAGATTGTCTCAACAAAACATCCTACTTGGTCTTAGTTTGAGCATAAAAGTCTACAGCTTACTCTCTGTTTTAGTCGTGTCTCTGTCAGCATTTTTCCATTCGTGTCTTGTATGTATAGTTCCTCGAATCTCTCGTACTGTTGTTGTTTGTATAAGGTTAACTTCCCTGGCCGTGTCCAGGAAATGCATTAGCGGACCGTTCATGGTGTTTCTTGTATAGATTAAATTCCCTTGGCTGTACCCTGAATGCTTGATCCTAGAGCTAATTAAGAATATTTCAAAACAATAATATGTATTATATAGTGTCCAAAATCTATATTGCCGGCCATGAAATCTCATGACTCCCTTCGGTCCAGGTAAAGACATTGGTTGAGTTGTTTGACGATGGTTCAAGTACATGTTATACAATTTTGACTCATTTTGCCGACTAAGAAGCTCAATCAGATTTTGACATTTAACAGATACAATATTGTTTGCTACGATGAGATGTGGAAACTCTCGATCCCATTCCGACCTTGTTCGGGAGACATGGTCCAAGCCCATGAAGAACATCAAAGAATTTCAAATAGCATAGGAACATGAGGGGTGGATTAAAATGAAAAAGAACATTCTATCAACTCAATTGTTCAAATATGATGACGCTTTTCGTATGTCGCTCCGCAAACAGAGCAAATGAATGTATATCAGTTTGACGTTTTGTTTCAAGTGTGTAGTCAAACACGTTTTAACCCATAATATATAATGTTCGCAATGCGTATTTAAAATATATTTTCGTAAGCTATATTTTATATACAATATTAAGTATATATGTACTTAATAGTACAACCGTCCACATGCTACTACGGACAGATACGACACCCCAGGGAGAAGGCGGAGAGGTTATGCTTATAATGTCCTCGTTTGGCCCCCATTTTCGGAAAATGAAAATAAGTGAAATAATATTTTTTTTTTGAAAAATGAGTGGTTGAAAAATAGTGAAAAGTTTTCGATTTACGTGTAATATTATCTTATGAAAGATTGTGTGGTTAAAAATAAGAGAGAAAAAAAATGTAACGTAATGTAATGAAATTTAATGAGAGCCAAACGAAGGTAATATACATTATGTTCATTTTATTAGATCCAAGGAAGCCTTAAAAAATTGTTTTGTTCGTTAAAGTAATCGAATCCAACTAGAAATCCTAGCGGCAGTTTTCAGCATCTGTGTAGATTCGAGGTGCCTTTTCTTTCAAAAATCACGAGGTGGCAATGGGCTCGGTCGTCTGCTGACTGGTGGGACAACTCGATGGGCAGAGAAAGACGGAAATTTTTATTTATTTATTATTATTATTTTTAACGAGGTTTCCCAGCTTGCGTCAGACTATATCCTCGTCCCTGAACCTCCGACCCCTCAGCAGCTCAGGGAGGTAAATTTGAGCTGATACTTTGAAAAAAATATTCATTAAAAAAAGAATTTCCTTTAATTTTTAATTTTTTACTTATTTTTTTTAATTTTACACATCTAAGCCATGTTTGACCCATATTATTTAAAAAAAAAATACATTCTTAAATAGTGATTTGACATCATTTTAACCGCACATTCTTCAATAAAATAATCTTACATGTAAATCCAAAACTTTTCTTCCTTTTTTAACCACATATTTCTTATTAATACACTATTCAAAAATACATTTTTATAAAAATAATGTGATTCAAACAAGAGCCTAATTGGGCTTGGGCAACCCCGAGCTTCCTCCTTGAGTGTCTGGATTCATCCACCAAGAGCCCAAAGGCCAAGCCCAAAATTCAGATGGGATCAATACAAAAATTCTAGTTCTAAAGATTACGTTTCATAAATAACAAAATCACTAAAATATTTCCAAAATTAGGTGGTAAAGAAATTTATTAAATATTAAATTATAATATAATATACATAAATTATTTTCACCTAATGCCACTTTACGCAACTACACCACATTTCCTCCACCTTTCCAACCAAAGATGGCTATCGACTTTGGCGACCGCTCTGACAAATGCTCCGATGATCCCTCCAACAACTACTCTAACTCTAGTGACAAAAAAATCTCCAAAAATTGAAAAAAAAAATCCCTCTTTATACTCCATTGTAGAAAAATCTCCAAAAATTTATCTGTGACAAGATTTATTATTCATGACTATGCTTGTATTTTATGTGATCAAACTTGTTTTCACTGTGACTATACGTGATCGTCTAATTTGTAACTCTATGTAACCAATTCACTGACATATGTTATTTGTGATTAAGTGTGACCAAATTTGTCTTTGATGTGAATAATAGTGACCAGATTTGTATGCAGTATGACTGTTTATGACCAAATCAATCTTAATCATGACCAAGTCACAACCGATCACAATCAACAAAAAATTGGTCACAAATAGTCACAACAAACACATATTTGGTTATTTGTGTTTAACACAGAACTCTAGCTAAACAACAGAACTGATAAAAGAACTATCTGCCCTTCATCGTTGCAGCCAGGTCAAAAAATTCGCTTGGTTCATCCTAAAAAGTTCAAATCCATCTTTCCTTCACCCTTTAGCACAACAAAATGCCAAGATACACAACAATCTTCTTAACCTACCATTCATCATTGTAGCAAGTGCACTCAACCCAAAATCTGACACCGT